GGTACGCCCGGAACTCCAGGGCAACCCGGTTACCCCGGAAAGCCACCCCAACCAGGATACCCAGGCACACCTGGTGCGCCCGGAACTCCAGGGCAACCCGGCTACCCCGGAAAACCACCGCAACCTGGATATCCAGGCACACCTGGCACGCCTGGTACGCCCGGAACTCCAGGGCAACCCGGTTACCCCGGAAAGCCACCGCAACCGGGATACCCAGGCACACCTGGCACACCTGGCACACCTGGGACGCCAGGACAACCTGGCTATCCTGGAACACCGTCTCTGCCTGGATACCCGGGCAAACCTGGAATACCTGGCACTCCTGGCACACCTGGGAAGCCAGGACAACCCGAATATCCTGGAACGCCACCTCAACCTGGACACCCCGGCACACCCGGCACGCCTGGTACACCAGGAACGCCAGGACAGCCCGGCTACCCCGGAAAACCGCCACACCCTGGAAGTCCCGGAACACCTGGCACTCCTGGCACACCTGGAACGCCAGGACAACCCGGCCATCCTGGAACACCACCACAGCCCGGATACCCAGGCACGCCTGGCATACCTGGAACGCCAGGACAACCCGGATATCCTGGAACGCCGCCACAACCTGGATACCCAGGTAAGCCTGGCACACCTGGAACACCTGGAACACCTGGAACACCTGGAACACCTGGTACACCGGGAACACCGGGATATCCTGGAACACCACCCCAGCCTGGATACCCAGGTAAACCCGGAACACCTGGCACTCCTGGCACACCTGGAACGCCAGGGCAACCCGGGTACCCTGGAACACCACCACAACCTGGAAGCCCCGGCACACCTGGCACTCCCGGCATACCTGGCACACCAGGACAACCCGGCCACCCTGGAACACCACCCCAACCTGGATACCCAGGTAAACCCGCAACACCTGGAACTCCTGGCACACCTGGAACGCCAGGAAAACCCGGCTATCCTGGAACACCACCACAACCTGGAAGCCCCGGCACACCTGGCACTCCTGGCACACCTGGCACACCAGGACAACCCGGCCACCCTGGAACACCACCCCAACCTGGATACCCAGGTAAACCCGCAACACCTGGAACTCCTGGCACACCTGGAACGCCAGGACAACCCGGCTATCCTGGAAAACCACCACAACCCGGACACCCAGGCACACCTGGCACGCCTGGTACGCCCGGAACTCCAGGGCAACCCGGTTACCCCGGAAAACCACCGCAACCTGGATACCCAGGCACACCTGGTGCGCCCGGAACTCCAGGGCAACCCGGCTACCCCGGAAAACCACCGCAACCTGGATATCCAGGCACACCTGGCACGCCTGGTACGCCCGGAACTCCAGGGCAACCCGGTTACCCCGGAAAACCACCGCAACCTGGATACCCAGGCACACCTGGCACGCCTGGTACGCCCGGAACTCCAGGGCAACCCGGTTACCCCGGAAAACCACCGCAACCTGGATACCCAGGCACACCTGGCACGCCTGGTACGCCCGGAACTCCAGGGCAACCCGGTTACCCCGGAAAACCACCGCAACCTGGATACCCAGGCACACCTGGCACGCCTGGTACGCCCGGAACTCCAGGGCAACCCGGTTACCCCGGAAAACCACCGCAACCTGGATACCCAGGCACACCTGGCACGCCTGGTACGCCCGGAACTCCAGGGCAACCCGGTTACCCCGGAAAACCACCGCAACCTGGATACCCAGGCACACCTGGCACGCCTGGTACGCCCGGAACTCCAGGGCAACCCGGTTACCCCGGAAAGCCACCGCAACCGGGATACCCAGGCACACCTGGCACACCTGGCACACCTGGGACGCCAGGACAACCTGGCTATCCTGGAACACCGTCTCTGCCTGGATACCCGGGCAAACCTGGAATACCTGGCACTCCTGGCACACCTGGGAAGCCAGGACAACCCGAATATCCTGGAACGCCACCTCAACCTGGACACCCCGGCACACCCGGCACGCCTGGTACACCAGGAACGCCAGGACAGCCCGGCTACCCCGGAAAACCGCCACACCCTGGAAGTCCCGGCACACCTGGCACTCCTGGCACACCTGGAACGCCAGGGCAACCCGGCTACCCTGAAACACCACCACAACCCGGATACCCAGGCACACCTGGAACACCTGGTACACCGGGAACACCAGGGTATCCTGGAACACCACCCCAACCTGGATACCCAGGTAAACCCGGAACACCTGGCACTCCTGGAACACCTGGAACGCCAGGAAAACCCGGCTACCCTGGAACACCACCACAACCCGGATACCCAGGCACACCTGGAACACCTGGTACACCGGGAACACCGGGAACACCAGGGTATCCTGGAACACCACCACAACCTGGATACCCAGGTAAACCCGGAACACCTGGCACTCCTGGAACACCTGGAACGCCAGGAAAACCCGGCTACCCTGGAACACCACCACAACCCGGATACCCAGGCACACCTGGAACACCTGGTACACCGGGAACACCGGGAACACCAGGGTATCCTGGAACACCACCACAACCTGGATACCCAGGTAAACCCGGAACACCTGGCACTCCTGGAACACCTGGAACGCCAGGAAAACCCGGCTACCCTGGAACACCACCACAACCCGGATACCCAGGCACACCTGGAACACCTGGTACCCTGGCACACCTGGAACGCCAGGACAACCCGGCTATCCTGGAAAACCACCGCAACCTGGATACCCAGGCACACCTGGCACGCCTGGTACGCCCGGAACTCCAGGGCAACCCGGTTACCCCGGAAAGCCACCGCAACCGGGATACCCAGGCACACCTGGCACACCTGGCACACCTGGGACGCCAGGACAACCTGGCTATCCTGGAACACCGTCTCTGCCTGGATACCCGGGCAAACCTGGAATACCTGGCACTCCTGGCACACCTGGGAAGCCAGGACAACCCGAATATCCTGGAACGCCACCTCAACCTGGACACCCCGGCACACCCGGCACGCCTGGTACACCAGGAACGCCAGGACAGCCCGGCTACCCCGGAAAAACCTGGATACCCAGGTAAACCCGGCACACCTGGCACTCCTGGCACACCTGGAACGCCAGGGCAACCCGCCTATCCTGGAACACCACCACAACCTGGGTACCCAGGCAAGCCCGGAACACCCGGCACTCCTGGCACACCCGGAACGCCAGGACAACCCGGCTACCCTGGAACGCCACCTCAACCTGGATATCCTGGAACGCCACCACAACCTGGCACTCCAGGACAACCCGGATATCCTGGAACACCACCACAACCCGGATACCCAGGCACACCTGGAACACCCGGTACACCGGGAACACCGGGATATCCTGGAACACCACCCCAACCTGGATACCCAGGTAAACCCGGAACACCTGGCACACCTGGGACGCCAGGACAACCCGGCTATCCTGGAACACCGCCTCTGCCTGGATACCCGGGCAAACCTGGAATACCTGGCACTCCTGGCACACCTGGGAAGCCAGGACAACCCGAATATCCTGGAACGCCACCTCAACCTGGACACCCCGGCACACCCGGCACGCCTGGTACACCAGGAACGCCAGGACAGCCCGGCTACCCCGGAAAACCGCCACACCCTGGAAGTCCCGGCACACCTGGCACTCCTGGCACACCTGGAACGCCAGGGCAACCCGGCTACCCTGAAACACCACCACAACCCGGATACCCAGGCACACCTGGAACACCCGGTACACCGGGAACACCGGGATATCCTGGAACACCACCCCAACCTGGATACCCAGGTAAACCCGGAACACCTGGAACTCCTGGCACACCTGGAACGCCAGGAAAACCCGGCTACCCTGGAACACCACCACAACCCGGATACCCAGGCACACCTGGAACACCCGGTACACCGGGAACACCGGGATATCCTGGAACACCACCCCAACCTGGATACCCAGGTAAACCCGGAACACCTGGAACACCTGGTACACCCGGAACGCCAGGACAACCCGGCTATCCTGGAACACCACCACAACCCGGATACCCAGGCACACCTGGGGCACCTGGAACGCCTGGTACACCGGGAACTCCCGGATATCCTGGAACACCACCTCAACCTGGTACACCAGGACAACCCGGTTTCCCTGGAAAACCGTCGCAACCTGGAGGCCCCGGCACGCCTGGTACTCCCGGTACACCGGGTATACCTGGAGCACCAGGCTACCCTGGTACGCCGTCGCAACCTGGATATCCCGAAACGCCTGGAATACCTGGTGGCCCAGCACAACCAGGATATCCTGGTGCACCAGGAAGACCGGGCAAACCTGGGAAACCTGCGAAACCCGGGAAACCTGCGAAACCTGGGAAACCTGGCGTCCCAGCAATTCCGGAACAACCACCATCTCCTGGTTCATCCGAAACTCCAGAAACTCCCGGCATACCATATCCACCGCCATATCCACCATCTCCGGAATATCCTGGCTCCCCTGGTAGTCCTGGAGCTCCCGGATTGCCTGGAACACCCGGAATACCAGGTAAACCTGGCAGACCTAGCAAACCTGGCAAACCTGGCAAACCGAATAAGCCTGGACATCCATCACATCCTGGTTACCCCGGAAGTCCCGGCTCCCCAGGTACACCCGGTCATCCTGGTTCTCCTGGTACGCCAGGATATCCTGGCACTCCCGGCACGCCAGGAACTCCTGGAATACCCGGAACTCCACCGATACCTCCACACCCAAGTTATCCCGGTATCCCCGGTACGCCAGGAACTCCTGGAATACCTGGAACTCCACCCATACCTCCACAACCAGGTTATCCCGGCATCCCTGGTACACCAGGAACTCCTGGAACACCCGGAACTCCGCCAATACCTCCACAGCCAGGTTATCCCGGTATCCCTGGTACACCAGGAATTCCCGGAACACCCGGAACTCCACCAATACCTCCACAGCCAGGTTATCCCGGGATCCCCGGTACACCAGGAACTCCTGGAACACCCGGAACTCCACCAATACCTCCACAGCCAGGTTATCCCGGTATCCCTGGTACACCAGGAATTCCCGGAACACCCGGAACTCCACCAATACCTCCACAACCAGGTTATCCCGGTATCCCTGGTAGACCAGGAACTCCTGGAACACCCGGAACTCCACCAATACCTCCACAACCAGGTTATCCCGGTATCCCTGGTAGACCAGGAACTCCTGGAACACCCGGAACTCCACCAATACCTCCACAACCAGGTTATCCTGGTATCCCTGGTACACCAGGAACTCCTGGAACACCCGGAACTCCACCAATACCTCCACAGCCAGGTTATCCCGGTATCCCCGGTACGCCAGGAATTCCCGGAACACCCGGAACACCCGGAACTCCACCAATACCTCCACAACCAGGTTATCCCGGTATCCCTGGTAGACCAGGAACTCCTGGAACACCCGGAACTCCACCAATACCTCCACAACCAGGTTATCCTGGTATCCCTGGTACACCAGGAACTCCTGGAACACCCGGAACTCCACCAATACCTCCACAGCCAGGTTATCCCGGTACTCCCGGTACGCCAGGAACTCCTGGAATACCAGGTATACCTGGAAAACCTGGTAAACCTGGCAAGCCGGGTAGGCCAGGTCATCCTGGGATACCTGGGGTCCCACCTGTCCCACCGCAACCAGGATACCCTGGAACACCGCCGTATCCAGAGGTTCCTGGAAAGCCTGGGAAGCCTGGACATCATGGACATCCCGGATCATCAACTCCAGGTATGTGCATTTTAAATCTCCATGTTGAACTTAGCAAATGAGTAGAACTTCTAGTATAATAGAAATATTTGGTTCATTTTTTATTAATATATATTCCACTAAAATTACAAATTTTTTTCTGTTGTTTCAGATCAGCCTCCGTATCCCCCATATCCAGGATACCCTCCCGGGCATGAAGGCCCAATTGGTGGTGTAGGTCCAGATGGTCCCAACGGTCCGTGGCCCAATGGTCCGGATGGTCCTCAAGGACCAAGCGGTCCAGGTGGACCAGGCGGACCAGGAGGCCCTGAAGGTGGAATTGGAGGAATAGGAGGTATAGGTGGCGATGGCCCTCCTGGTCCAGATGGTCCATGGCCGACAGGTTCGCCCGGCCCAGATGGGCCATGGCCTGGTGATCCCGACTACGTGCCTGGAGCTCACCCAACAATTCGTCCACACTACGAAGGACCAATTAAGATTCAATATCCCATCAAATATTACGAAGCTACGACGCCAACCTCTTACGTTTATCCGTTGTATGGACAGAAGCAAGTAGAACGGTTAACCTCTAACTCTAAGTTCGAATTGAAATATTTCAATAATGAAACTTCGAATGAAGGCTACGAAAAGAACGTCGAATCTACAACGTTTACATATCCAAGCAAGATAAGCGGTCCCATAGGAGTGAAGGATGCATATATAGACTCGCAGTTGGGAAATCGATCCCAGAGACCCGGCTATCAGACAGGACAAGTGAACCAAAATGCGGACGAAATTAATTCTTTGTTGCAAACGCAACGAAAGGAATTGCGTAAATACACAGAACAGGAAGACCGAAATAACTACGAAGATCTTAAGAAAATTGTATCGCCAATTCCTCAAACTGTTTACGACGGAGTGGGTGGTCCTACCACTAGTGCGAAGTACTCCAGCCGAGAAAGATTGCAGCAGGGCTCTCGCGAGAATCGTAAATATCCGCAACAAGTGACGAAATTGAGCGAACCGGTGATTCGAATAGAAACGAGCCCCGAAGAAAATACCGCCGCGCTCATCAAACAGGTAAACCAATTATCCGAAAAATCTAGCGAACCGAGCTTCGAGTTCGCTGCGATCGGTGTTCAGCCACCGAATCCGATCAATATCAAGCCCTACGATCAGTCTGTAGGGCCAGACCCTGAAACCTGTCCCTGTTACCTTGTCGAGCCTGGAAACGATACAGTCAAAACCACCAGCACGACATCCATTCCTCTCATTGGTCAGCTTGGCTTCATTCCAGTAGTATTTGTACCATACTGTCCGGGCAACGACGAGACGGACAGCGAAAACATGAAAGACATGTTCCCCTCTGCAATGCCTGTCCCATATGCATGCGACACGTGCGGCTTGCAAACCGGGAAAATCGAAACGAAGCTTCTCAGCGTGAATCAGCTTGGCAATATAGAGAATCTTCGTGAGGCGTTGCGGCAAGCAAAACTTGGCTTTTTAAATGTTTCAGCACGGCGTCGGACGGAAAGGAGGGGGGCGAAGAGTCGGCACGTCAAGTGAAGAGTGCGATTGCGATTCACGGATTTTAGTTCGTCACTCGGCTACAGGGACAGCCGAGAATTTCCGCGGGAACGGTTCGTAAAACGGAGAAACACTGCCCGTCCGTCAGCTGCTGGACAGCTGAAGGATGGCCAAAGAGAGACACGATCGAAAACCAACGAGAAAAATCATCATTGTCTCGCAATGGGTAACCATAATCTGTACGTTCTTACAGGATTAGGTGGAAGCTGACAGAGTGAAAGTAACGGATCGTGGTACTTAGAACGATCGACTATGGTTATCCAGAGGTAGCGTACTGGCTAGCGTACATAACAGTTTTGCATTTTCGTTCTTAACTTTTTTCTCTTTTAACACGGATGATAATTTATGGGACAGTTTTTAATCATTAAACCTGGTATACAAGACGTTACTGTTTGTTGCAGCGACGGGGACAGCGAAACGAAACTGGAATACAGTTTCTAGAATCGTTTCCGCGAGCAGTAAATTATGTTTTATAAAAATTCAGGATACGTAAGGATTAATGCAGGATAAAGTATTCGATGTTTGTCATCTCACAGAGACACATATGTAAAGCAAACCTTTGTATTATCGTCGAATTCGAATGTTTCCGTAGTTCTCCCTCTTCGTAGTTATAACGATGCAAAAAATATCTTTAGTTTACCTTCTAGTTTTAATACATCATCTATTATTTAATTTCAAGGATACTATTTCGTTTCGCTCGATGTTGATTGCGTAAAAAGTTATAAACTGTCTGATATTTAATTGTATTTTCGTTTAAAGATCTTCTTTCGACTTAATTTGTATAAACATCGTGAGAAATGGAATCATCCACTGTATTCTCGTGTTTAACGTATGCTTGAGGTTAAATATTGATCGTACAAGTGCTAATACGTACTATAATTTTTATTGAGCACGTACAGAACTGTCGCCGCGGATAGACAAATTCTTAAGGATCAATCTTTTTCCAAAAAGTGTAGGGTTTAAGGTACGTGGAATACTTCACGCGAATAATTAATTAAACTTCGTATTTAACTGTACATGCTCGATATCTTAACAAAATAATTCTATTTGTACATTGGCTATAAGATACGTAGTGTATGTCTTCTTCCGTAGCATAGTTGTCGACGAAATTTTCAATAAATTATACATAATTGTACATATCGATATTACGTTCATCCAATGTTCCTTATAAGCATGAATCATGCATTTTTGCCTAAATAAAACTAATCATCAAACATCCTAAATCGATCTTATTTAAACGAAGACCATTAACATCCTTCAATTGTAAGAAAGACAAATACATTGAAAAACAAAAAAATTGCCTCCCTACTCTCCACGAATAAATGGATAGGCAGCTTTAATAACCGATCTGTATTTATTATTATCATATACATTATTCACGAAATATCAATCATAATAATACAAAATGACAATCTACCAATGTTAATACAGATTAATAGCTAATATTGATATTAATGAAACTTCGCACGCCACATACACAGTTAAACCCAGTATTGGCAAATACTGCTGTAATGATTGCACTGCATCCTTTGTTAAAAAGGCAAAATGTATTGTAAACTACGATACTCCTCGTTCTACTTAAGAGTAACCTCTGTATCCCGATGGATTACCAACGTAGCTTCCATAATTGGTGCTGCGATACGGATCGTAGTTGCTTCTTACGTTATACGAGGATCCATAATTCGATCCTCCGTACCCACTATATCCAGTTCCATACCCATAACCATAGCCATCTAATCCACCGTAACGTCCATAACCATCTAATCCACCGTAACGTCCGTAATTATCGCGTCCACCATACCCATAGTATCCATCGTCGTAGGTACCAGAACCGTAACCACCTGAAGCATATCCACTGCCATACCCAGCATAGCCCCCTAATGTGTTTCCACCATATCCTCCGTAACCCCCGTAACCACCGTATCCATAGCCTCTATATCCCGGATTGTAGCCAATGTTTCCGTAATAGCCGTACCTGGTATCAAAAGATTAAAAAATCTTGAATCGTTAGCTGGAGCGAAGAGAAATAACGTGGCGCACGCTATCGATCAAAATCAGTGTCGTTAAACTGTCGCGTTTACGCTTTTTTAATAGAACCACGTATTACTTGGGAAAATATTCATAGGAGGATCTGATCGAAATTGCTCGTGGAAAAAATAAGGAAGAAATATAGAATAACATTTGTTCATTCTCGGCTTAGCTTTCGAAAAAACTAAATTTGAAAATTTATCCAGTGTACTTGAACATTGATTAGTTCGAGACTGGGCAAGGCTAAATAATCGACAGATCGTTCTACGCGTGAAAATAAATCGAAAGTGTAGAATAAAATTTTCCCGTGTAAAGCTTTATTCCCGAGAAAGTGGAGTTTGGACGTGTTTAGTTAAGAATCCGCTTAGTAAATTTTCAAATATTTTTTTCACGGAGGCGTGTTGAGAAAAAATCTTATTCTACATTTTCAATTTACTTTCACACGTAGAATGATCCTCCTGTAGATTACTTAGTTAATCGCCTGCAGTTTGCGATTAACCATGTTCAACTATACTCGATAAATTTTCAAACTCGATTTTCTCAAAAATCATATCGTGGTCGCTTTTACACGTTATTTGTCCGTACCTTGTATACTGGAAAAAATGTTAAATATCTTCGAGTATTGGCCTACGGTTGCGTGACGTATAAAATGTGGGATATTGCTAATGAAATTCAATAATTTAGATATTAAATAATACGGTGTCAAAGATACGCGTTAAATATAAATTTCAGGAAATTCGAAGATGCATCGAATAAACTTTCGAATCAAGAGTAAACGGGAAGAACTGCTACGTTCTCGACCGCGACTCTTTTGTTATGTTAATAAATTATTGCAAATTCTTCCTAACACATCCTCGTTACGAATTTATTCATACTATACAAACTACTTCCTTAAAAAGTCAGCCATGTGACAGATTTATGAATTGTGCTGAAACCTCACCCTATATGGCCGCCCCCGATAATTCCACTTGGCCCACCCACTGGATAGCCTCTATAGCCTGGATTTAGATATCCCGAGCTCAAGCCTGTCCCACGATATACGGTGCCAGGACCATAAATCGAACCACCAAGATAACTTCCATATGGTCCGCCTCCACCGTATCCTGTAGGTTGACCGTACTCTTTGCTAAGGTGAAACGCTGGAACCAATGGAACTTTTAAGAAAATCCACGTTTTCGAAGGAGTAGCGTTAATCGATCATTGATACATCCTTGTCGATAAGAAATTTTGAATTTTTTAATAATAATCTCCGTACTCGTGTCGAAAAATTAATAAAAATATAAACGTGTCCATGTGTCTATATGCGCCTATATGCGCGTGTTTCATATTTATTCGATAATCGATCGTTCGTGTTAACTACAATCGACGACAAAAAGCTATTGATTTCGAAGGATTTACATGCAAATGATGAACACTCGAGACGGCAAGAGAATGGTTATGCGAATTACCGTAATTTATAAGGAAATTGAGGTCGATTGTTATGAAATACTTGGAAATTCCTAAACGAAAATCCCGTCAGAATTCGTCGACTGCAAAAATCCTCGAAAGTACAAAAGTTTCTCAAATATATGATATTGAAAGAGAGAGAGAAAGAGAGAGAGATGTTATCAGCGATGTCGTGATTTACAATTGTTTGATTACACTTTGAAGAGCAATGAAAAACATGTATGAATCGAGAAGATTACTTTATGGCTCACAGTGTGAACAGAAGAATAGATAATCAGTAGAACCTTGGCGAATGCTAGTGAATGGTAGAACGCTTTTTCACACATACGCGTCATTCATCCACACCGTTTTATGGTGGCGGAAATGACGCGATGTTGAATGATGAGTTTATGAATCATCAATTACCGCGCAATGTCCACGGAACAAGATTTGCAAATTAAATCGCGTTTAAATTCAATTAGTTGCAATTGATGAAAACGCCGTCCCCTGAATTCAGAATCAGCGTACTATGATTTATGAATATGAATGCCATGGGCCGTGTGTCTATAATTACGCGCATCTACGCCAATTAACAATTAGATTTTGAACGAAAGATCTTGCAATATTAACGTTTCATTCAAGTATCGTTCACTGAATTTCCATAGAATATTTTACGAGCATTCACAATTATAAATCTTATTGTAGCTAATTAAAAACGTCGGTAATTATTGCACGGAAACGTAGGTCAAGAGATTCGTCGTAATCCTTTGATTTGACCTGCAGTTGTATCGCAATAATCATTTTCATTGGAAAGTGGATATTCACAGATTCGATGTAAATGATATTTTAACAAATAGACAGGATCAATTTAATTCAATCGATTCTTCAACTTCTTCGTCTTTATGTTTCTTTCTTCCTTTCTCACGCAGAAATAATAAAACTTGCTTCTTATCGCGAATCGAAATGAAATCAAATGAAAAATCAACTGACATCGCTGCAGTATTCGAATAATTGGAAACACGCACGCGTCGCGTATGCAGATTCTGTTGTTCCGTTACATGAGTCATTATATCAATGATCTAATGCAGAACACGGCGCCGTCGTTAGAAAAGACGCCGCCAACTGTCGAAGGACCTTCGACTAGTCTCGTCGGATTAGCATGTTATTATATCGAATGTCAGTTTTTTACAATGAAAATCATTTGAAGTGCTCGATCGTGGGAACGGCAGTGACACACTTATTTAATAAGTTGAAAAGGTTGGATAACGATCGATCATGCTTAGAAACAGTCGTAATTTCGCCGCAACGACGACAAAACCACGGGGCTCTTGTAATTATGCAGTTACGAGTATCCTTCTTTGAATGCACTAAATAACGCTAGTCTTCCTTTATGCTTCTTTTCTATTTTTTTTTCTTTCTTTCTTCTCTTTTTTTTGCAATTACGCTTCTACGTATCATGGAACGAGATAAAAAAAGTAGAATTCTAGAAACGATCGCTTAATTAACGTAAACCATTCGAAATTTTGTTTAAAACGAGTCACAAAACGTAATCGTCTATTCGTCTAATCGTCGAAATAAATTAATAGAAGAACCGAGTAATAATAAATTAATAGAAAACTTACTAATAAAATAGGCATAAATTTATAACTTGGTTAGGAGAAAAATTCTGTTTTCAAGATTTACATACCGATTCGTCTATGTAAGTGCACGAGAATTTACTGTAACAACACTTACTTCGATCGCTCGCAGACGCTGTTAAATCTTTGATGTTATTCTCGTACGATGGACTGTTCACCGGTGTTAATTTGCTGCTTAACTTTGGTTCCGACGATTCAATGGCACCGCTGCCCAGTGCAAATAAACAACCGAGAAATAATATCTGAAATTGAGGATACAATATTGATTAGCGTGATGAACAAACATGCAATACGCCACTAAAACGAATACTGTAGATGTTAAAAATAGATCGCGTAAGCTACATTTCATTATATGCAAAGCGATGGGTACTCGCGAAAAGAGTGTCATTCATTAAGACAGAATATCAATAAACGAACGTCACGACTCCAATGATTCTATGCGGAAACTGCAGGAAATTGAAACATCGCCAATATTTTGAGAAACTTGTCGAACAGCCCCAGTTTGATGATTTTTAAATATAAATACACATAACCGGAGCAGCTGTTTGCCTTAGCTTTCAAGTTGGATCGACATAATAGCAATATTAATCGATATCACCTAACATAAACAGTACCGGCCGCTTATTACTATTTTATTTATTATTATTTATTATTACTTATTACTATTAATCCAATCCAGCTTGGAAACTAAAGCAGCGAAATATTTCTGCACGTTCGTAATTCGAAAAACGTGGCCGACCGTCGGTTATACGCGTAGGAAAAAGTTGTTCAAAATGTTCAGCTTTGCAACATACTTCATCGGATAGAAAGTAGCAGCTCGATAAATTCGTCAAAATGATTTTTTTTTTTTTCAAATTTTCAGCGGTTTCCGCGCGGAACTTTTCTATTGATGTTTTAACGAATGACACTCAGCATTTGCGTACAACGAAATTTGCGTAGCAGAAATATAAATTATTACGTTCATTTGCAGGAATTTTAACACGGCAATTAGACGCACGTAAATACAACACAGAAATGTAATCGATGTACAGAAATATCTAATAGGGAAACTTTAATTATTAACGAAATTATCCTATTTCATGAAATATTGAAAAATAGATTTATAACAAGAAGGTGGAATATCATGTT